AGTTTAAACTCAAAATCTCTTTCTAAAAAAAACAAAAACAACTGTTGGATACAACCCTCTCATAGCTCAACTTTAGATAAAACTCGGCATTCTCCGGTGAACTCTGTTCACGCCAAAAAAACGAACTAAAAACAAAAACTCCCTTTTTCTGTTTGTAATTTAAACTGTGATCACTGAAATATTGTTGCTTCTTTACTTTTGTCATTTATCAGCCTGAAATTCGTCAATTTCAAAGCTTTTGTAACAAAGGCCTCTTTTTCACATTTCCCTTTTTATTGCTTTTATTATTACACCATGGTTTCACTTTTGGATCCAACACTTTTCTCTGGCTAGCAAGGGGCCTCTACCCTGTAATTACTCTTTCTCTGCCCTGACTACTTCAAAGGACAGGGACCCCGATACTTCAAGGGGTTCTTTTTTCCTATAGGGACTGGTTACCCACACAGCTAACCTGTTTTCTACAACATAAGACATGACAAAGACGTGACAAAGACGTGACAAAGACAAAACAAAGAAAATTTGATTTAGAGAGATTTGGACAGACCTCCGGGACAGCTCAAAATTTAGCTAGTATCCAATTATGCAGACTTTACATATTAAAAAAGGTGTCTGCTTACCTTATTTTCTTTGTCCGGACTGTTCGAGAGGTCGACCAACATCTTTTCCGCGTCGAAAAATTCAATGTAAACACAAAACAGAGAAAGTGAGGGAGCAAGAGCAAGCCCATCCAAAAGCAGCCCTTTCAGCGTCCGCTGGGATTTCTCCCCTTCCAGATAACGTGCTGTTGCTCCCACACGCCGAAAAAAAGAAACAAAGGAAACTCCCTCAAAACAATCAGAGAATGGCGCACACTGAGCCGCACATTCTCCACCAAATCTGTCAGGGATGAAGCAGACAGAGACGGATTGTGGTGCGCCAAACTCTGGAAGTTTATTTAAGTTTCTCTCAAGTTCCAGTGGTTTCCCTTGTTTCTTTCTCTCAGACAGAATAAAGGCAGTACACAGTTTATATAGTCATTGTTAAAGGCAGTACACAGTTTATATAGTCATTGTTAAAGGCAGTACACAGTTTATATAGTCATTGTTAAAGGCAGTACACAGTTTATATAGTCATTGTTAAAGGCAGTACACAGTTTATATAGTCATTGTTAAAGGCAGTACACAGTTTATATAGTCATTGTTAAAGTCAGTACACAGTTTATATAGTCATTGTTAAAGGCAGTACACAGTTTATATAGTCATTGTCACGTCACACATGGAAAGACGTGTCACACAGAGACAGTCACATCATAGTCATAATAATCAGAGTCCTTGTACAGTCCTGCACGTAGACCATATTGCTATCTAATACTAACACAGGGCAGGACCTGGTTAGTGCTGTGATGGGAGACCTATAAACAGCAGGTGCCACAGTGGGGCGGCTGCGGCTGTAAAGTGCCAAACTGTGGTTGTGTCCTTGGGCAAGACACTTCCCCCACATTAGAAAGAGTCTGGTGTGTGTGTGAGTGGTTGGTGGTGGTGGGAGGGGCCTATGGCACAGACTGGTGGCCTCGCTTCTGTCAGTGTGCCCCAGGGCAGCTGTGGCTACAGTGGTTTATCATCACTGTGTTTAGAGAGAATGAATAATGACATGTGAAAAGTCTTTGAGTAAGTGCAATATAAAACCAATGCATTATTATTATTATTATTATTATTATTTCTATACTTCACTGGACTTTACTGGACTTTACTGGACTGGACTGACCCGGTCTGGTCCGTGCCTGATGTCCCCCTGGCCCCCATGGCCCCCCTCGCCCCGTTGCCATGGCACCGTGCCTCAGTTTCCCGGATGTAGCCCTCGGTTCAACATGGCGGCCGTAAAGTAACTCTAATGTCACAGACTTTGGTTAAAGTTGAGCAGACTTCTCACAGGTCGAACCAGGCCGGGCCGTGAGCTGTGGGCGCCCGCGGGGACCAAAGGGCTGTTTTCGGGTAAGTAAGTTCCATACTGGCCCCTGGTTGGGCACTTTGTGAGGGAGCAGCTCAGGCGAGTGTTTCCCTGTTCTCTGAAGCTACATGCTAATGCTACATGCTAATGCTACATGCTAATGCTACATGCTAATGCTACATGCTAATGCTACATGCTAATGCTACATGCTAAGTGCTAAGTTCTGCTGTGAGCTCCGTGTGCAGACAGATCTGTGATGTGGGAAACTGAAGCTCAGACATAAACCACTGCTGTCACTACTCTAAGTTTCTAACACTAATGTTCTACAGCAGAGAAGTTGCTTAGCGATCAGCGGCCCTTTTTTCCTTGTTAGACTGTAAAGTTTGGGGCTGGTTCTTTGCTCGGAGCCTGTGGCTGTAGTCAGCAGCTGTCACTAGTTTACTGTTGTTATGGTGGTCGGATATTCAGAGTATCACTTATCTTATCGATTATTCGACCATATCGGTTGTTTTGATCGACTCTCGGTGTGGTGGATCCGAGGCTGGACTGAGTAAGTAAGTAAGTAAGTAAGTAAGTTTTTATTTATATACCGCCTTTTCACTGCAGATCTGAGTCTCAAAGCGGTTTACAATTGTTAATTATGGGCATTTGTCTCTCGCTCCACACAGAGATGGGAGCGGGGCCAGTACAGGAGGCGCATGCCAGAACTATTGGACATATTTTTAGTGGTAGGGGAAACCGGAGTACCCGGAGGAAACCTACGCAGACACGGGGAGAACATGCAAACTCCACTCAGAAAGGCCCTGGTCCGACCGGGATTCGAACCCAGGACCTTCTTGCTGAGAGGCGAGAGTGCTATCCACTCAGCCACCGTGCCGCCCAGACTGAGGCTGTGCTGGTCCGGGACAGTTGGGACAGGTCTGGGCAGTGCTCTCCCTGTGGATCCATGGCTCCTGTGTGTTTGTTATTATTGCATTATTACGGTTTGATTCTCTGATCTGTTGTTCACCAATCCACAACTTTGTCAGGTCCTTCTGAGACACAAAAACATTGAATTGAATTGAAAGAAAAAGAGATGACATGTCTGAGCCGCACATTTGCTCAACACATGTTTGAATAATAATGTTTCTGTTTAATCTACAGCTTCCTCCAGAGTAGACTCAGAAACACACTTGCATTTGTGTTCACAGTGAAGTGTTACGGTAGTATCTGGACTTTAAATGGTTATAACTCAAAAACTAAATGTACTATAGATTGGAACACAGACATATCAGAGAAAGTGTGGATGAAATCAAAAGGAAAGTTTTTGGCGACATTCTGAAGAGCCAGATCAGCTCCGATTGGATCATTTTACTGTGACTGTAGAAACTTAAAGGTCCTTAGTGACAAAGATTCACATTAACACGACGTCAGGGAATCACTCACTTTTAAAAGGAATCATTAAAAAAATGAAACAATACAAATGTTAAAGACCCTGAAAAGTGTGCAACGTGATTTCCCTCAATTTTTATCTAAAAATTACACTTGAGAAAAAAAGCTTGTTTTTAAAGCCATGGTGTGATTGGTTTCACTTTGTTTCTACTCTGTGTAACATAAAGAATCTATAAATCAAACATGGAACAAACTTCAGCTCATTCAAAGGATCAGGTCCGAGACAAACCGCCGCTTTAGAAAACTGGACTAATGTATTAAACATAGTCCCACATTTGATTGTGTGCCTTCTGAACATCTGCAGAATCAGATTCTTTCTTCTGAAACAGGTTCTTATCAGATCAGGAAGTGACGGCTCTTTCTCTTTTACATTGTGCAGTTTTAAAGTTAAAGTGGCTCCAACAGCACAGACCCAACATTTACATTAACATCGTTTTATTAGAACCTGGCTCTGGATATTTGTGTTGCAAAAGTGAGAGGATCAATGGGCCTTTCTTCATAATATGATACAATGAGGCTACTATGGCCTAGGGTAGGGTAGGGTAGGGTAGAGGATAGGAGAGTAGGGTAGGGTGGGGTAGGGTAGAGAAGAGTAGGGTAGGGTAGGGTAGGGTAGGGTAGGTAGGGTAGGGTAGGGTAGGGTAGGGTAGGGTAGGGTAGGGTAGAGTAGAGTAGAGTAGAGTAGAGTAGAGTAGAGTAGAGTAGAGTAGAGTAGAGTAGAGTAGAGTAGAGTAGAGTAGAGTAGAGTAGAGTAGAGTAGTAGAGTAGTAGAGTAGAGTAGAGTAGAGTAGAGTAGAGTAGAGTAGAGTAGAGTAGAGTAGAGTAGAGTAGAGTAGAGTAGAGTAGAGTAGGGTAGGGTAGGGTAGGGTAGGGTAGGGTAGGGTAGCAAAGTGAGTGTGGTGGATCACAGACACATGTCCTCACACTGGGAGTGACCCTGTCGTACAGTTAGTCTGTGACCACAGACACTGACTGCATCAAACATTCCACAGATGCCAAAGGGACGCAGCGGTGGAACAGGTCCCTGTGTGGACCCAGGGTCAGACCAGGGGTCAGGCCCGGGGTCAGGATTAACTGCACATGTTTTTATTTATTTACAGTTTTCTAATGACGTGAAACACTCAAACTGCAGCAAGTCCAATTACACAACATTACACAACATTAGACTGACTAACTCTACAGATGTGAAAGTGTCCTACATCTCTGCTCATCCCAATCACCTGCCTGTGCTCATGGTGTATGATACTATGGTGACAATTCCTGGGTTGCCTTGGTGACTTCAGTCTGCAGTACACAGCGTGCTCCGCCTCCGTGCTGGGGAAGGCTTAAGCCGCGACACCTCTTCCAGATAATATAATACTTCCATGGCTCTGTCTGACTCTGCAAAGACAGTCACAGTTAGCTTCATACGTCATAGCTACATAGAAAAACAGTTATAAACTTTTCAAAAACATGGGTAAATACAAACACAACACTTCATGACCAGCTTCACATGAAGTAACTCTCTTTAACGACCTCTAAAGTGCAGCGGGCTTAAGGTGCAGTTACAGCAGGCGCCAGAAGAGGGCGCTATTCCCATATTTAACTGAACTGTATTTACATCTATTCACTTCTCCTGGAGCTGACGCAGGCCTGTGCACACATCACATCAATGAGGAGGAGGTGAGGGAGGGGCGAGGGTGAGAGTGAGGAGGAGGTGAGGGCGTGGAGGAGGTGAGGGCGTGGAGGAGGTGAGGGCGTGGAGGAGGTGAGGGCGTGGAGGAGGTGAGGGCGTGGAGGAGGTGAGGGCGTGGAGGAGGTGAGGGCGTGGAGGAGGTGAGGGCGTGGAGGAGGTGAGGGCGTGGAGGAGGTGAGGGCGTGGAGGAGGTGAGGGCGTGGAGGAGGTGAGGGCGAGGAGGAGGTGAGGGCGAGGAGGAGGTGAGGGCGTGGAGGAGGTGAGGGCGTGGAGGAGGTGAGGGTGTGGAGGAGGTGAGGGTGTGGAGGAGGTGAGGATGAGGGTGTGGAGAACGTGAGGGTGAGGAGGAGGTGTGGAGGAGGTGAGGGCGAGGAGGAGGTGAGGGCGTGGAGGAGGTGAGGATGAGGAGGAGGTGAGGGCGAGGAGGAGGTGAGGGCGTGGAGGAGGTGAGGGCGTGGAGGAGGTGAGGGCGAGGAGGAGGTGAGGGCGAGGAGGAGGTGAGGGCGTGGAGGAGGTGAGGGTGTGGAGGAGGTGAGGATGAGGGTGTGGAGAACGTGAGGGTGAGGAGGAGGTGTGGAGGAGGTGAGGGCGTGGAGGAGGTATGGGCGTGGAGGAGGTGAGGGCGTGGAGGAGGTGAGGGCGTGGAGGAGGTGAGGGCGTGGAGGAGGTGAGGGCGTGGAGGAGGTGAGGGCGTGGAGGAGGTGAGGGTGTGGAGGAGGTGAGGGCGAGGGTGAGGAGGAGGTGAGGGTGTGGAGGAGGTGAGGGCGAGGGTGAGGAGGAGGTGAGGATGAGGGTGTGGAGGAGATGAGGGTGTGGAGAAGGTGAGGGTGTGGAGGAGGTGTGGAGGAGGTGAGGGTGTGGAGGAGGTGTGGTTGTGGAGGAGGTGTGGAGGAGGTGAGGGCGTGGAGGAGGTGTGGAGGAGGTGAGGGTGTGGAGGAGGTGTGGTTGTGGAGGAGGTGAGGATGAGGGTGTGGAGGAGGTGAGGTTGTGGAGGAGGTGTGGAGGAGGTGTGGGTGATGTCCCTTGGGCCCACAGCCTGGTCCCTGTGAGTAAACATTGGCCCTGCTGAGGTGAACTACAGTGGCCCTCATACTAAAAGGTTGGACACCCTGCTGTAGCACAGGTACAAGTCCTTGGTTGTATCGTCTCATTCAGCTCCAAACATGTTAATAATGAAGCTCATTAGGGATGTACCGATCCGATATTCAGTATCGGTATCGGGGGCCGATATGGGTATTTTGTAAGGATCGGATAATATCGGATTTGTTAAATATTTGCCGATTTCCGTCACTTTTCAGCAGCTCACGCTTTACGGCTGCCGTAAACTAAACACAATGTAAAACTAGGGCTGGGCGAGAAACGACAACGAGAGATTCTGTGATAGACACGTGTTCGATATCGATAGAATGTTAGTTTAACGTCACTCCGTTAGAAAAAACAGGAAGTAAAGCCGAGTCAGAGGCGCGCAGCATTCTGGGGGATGTAGCTCAGGCTTCTCGACCAATCACAGCCAAGCGTCAACCGCACAATGCGTCCATGGATCTAAGATTGTTTTTCAGTGCCGTGTCAGTGGTTCTACACGTCTGTGCGAGGCTTAGCGTGTGCGGCGCTGCAGAGGCAGTGGACACAGAGACCCGGGGCATGCGGTGACAGCAAGAGATGAACTTTTTCCTCCATGCGGTTCTCAGAGATCTATCAGAGATCTATCAGAGATCTATCAGAGATCTATCAGAGATCTATCAGAGATCTATCAGAGATCTATCAGAGATCTATCAGAGATCTATCAGAGATCTATCAGAGATCTATCAGAGATCTATCAGAGAGCTATCAGAGATCTATCAGAGATCTATCAGAGATCTATCAGAGATCTATCAGAGATCTATCAGAGATCTATCAGAGAGCTATCAGAGAGCTATCAGAGAGCTATCAGAGATCTATCAGAGATCTATCAGAGATCTATCAGAGATCTATCAGAGAGCTATCAGCGAGCGGCCGCACAGAGCCGTCATGGAGACACAAAGCAGGAGATAAACCAGAACTAAACCAGGACTAAACCAGGAATAACTATGGGGGAGACTGTGAATATATTCCTCGAACCTCATTCCCCGTGACTGTAAACAAAGCTAACATGTGTTAGCCAACACGGCAAACGTATTTATTCAGGTTAAAACGCAAAATCTTTAATGCTTTGAAAATATTAGAAAAATTTGTATCGGATCGGTATCGGATTACAAAAAATCTGGATCAATACATCCCTAAAACACATGAGAAACCCCTTTGAACTGTGAGCCGTGGAAAATATGTATGAATAAGATTAGTGTGAGTTAAGCTGCGTGTAACCGTTCTATAGTGGCTCTGGTTTGAGAAGTGCTCATGGGCAAAGTTTGTTGTTTTGTGTTTCCGCCTCTGCCCTGTACCCGAGTCTGCCCAGGGTTTCTCACCTGAGTCTGCTCCAGGGTTTCTCGCCTGAGTCTGCTCCAGGGTTTCTCGCCTGAGTCTGCTCCAGGGTTTCTCGCCTGAGTCTGCTCCAGGGTTTCTCGCCTGAGTCTGCTCCAGGGTTTCTCGCCTGAGTCTGCTCCAGGTAGGGATGTAAATCGGCGACCGGTTAACCGGTGGTTGACCGTCACAGCGTTAACCGGTCAAAGCTGTCGGTTAAAAAAGAGAAAAAGGGGAGAGGGGAGGTCTCTTAATAACGCTATTTTAAGCCCTATTTGCACGGTGTGACGAGCGGGTCTGTATCTAGCTGTGTGCGCCCATGTATTATAAACTCCGGGACGACTCTCACGCCGCACGAGCCACATATGCACACACGCACACGCACACACACACACACACACACACGCACACATTCCCCCTCTCCATACGTAACATCCACACGCATCATCTCTCCCCTCACCGTCAAAGTTGCACACTGGCGCGGGTCAGAACTACATTGGAGCTTACATTTACACACACACATATACATACATACACACACACACATACATACACACACACATACACACACACATACCGGTCTGTCGCGCTCCTCTGTGTCACGGAGCCCAAAGGATTCGCGCAAATACGCGGCTCCTTTGGGAGTCGCGTATTTCCCCTACATGTTTTGCTGTAGGGGAAACATGTTTGTGTTTATGGTCCTCGGGATCAGCTCCACACACATCACTTGTATTTAAACTTTTGTGAAGACCTGTGAGACGCGGCTCGTCACTCGCTGCTCTGACCATGTGGACGAGCCGTCGTTTGCTGCTAGAAAGTTTTGGTATTAACCCGCAGCACAGCAGAATGGGAAGATTAAAAAAGCAGTTCTCTGTGCGCAAAGGTGCCGGAGCTGTTGCGGGTTTGGGCGCCGCTGTCTCGGCTCTGATCCAGTAGAACGCAGAGCTGCACTTATGAGAAGTACGCGGCTCGAAATGGCTGTTATTTCAAAGAACGTGGACTATTTTAAACTACGCGGTTAACCGGTTTCAACCGGTTAATGAGGCTCGGTGGTCGGTCATGAAAATTCATAGTTTTTTACATCCCTAGCTCCAGGGTTTCTCGCCTGAGTCTGCTCCAGGGTTTCTCGCCTGAGTCTGCTCCAGGGTTTCTCGCCTGAGTCTGCTCCAGGGTTTCTCGCCTGAGTCTGCTCCAGGGTTTCTCGCCTGAGTCTGCTCCAGGGTTTCTCGCCTGAGTCTGCTCCAGGGTTTCTCACCTGAGTGTGTCCTGCCGCAGGTCTGGTGCTGGCCTGTCTCAGATGCAGTCATGTTTTCAAAGAAGAAGAAGAGCCGGATCGCCATCTCTGCACCGTCCAACTTTGAGCACCGCGTCCACACCGACTTCGACGAGACGGAGCAGAAGTTTGTGGGTCTGCCGCGACAATGGCAGTCTCTCATCGAAGACACGGCCAAACGCCCCAAACCCTTCATCGACGCCACCGTCATCACCACCGTGGAGCCGCGAAAGGTACGGGCCGAGACGGAGCAAAGGTGCAAATGAGTTTATATCAAACACACAAGGCACAGTAGAGCACGTTAGAACGCGTTAGAACGCATTAGAACACGTTAGAACACATTAGAACACGTTAGAACACGTTAGAACGCATTAGAACACGTTACAACGCGTTAGAACACGTAAGAGCACGTTAGAACGCGTTAGAACGCGTTAGAACACGTTAGAACGCATTAGAACACGTTAGAACACGTTAGAACACGTTAGAACACGTTAGAACACGTTAGAGCACGTTAGAGCACGTTAGAACACGTTAGAACACGTTAGAACACGTTAGAGCACGTTAGAACACGTTAGAACACGTTAGAACACGTTAGAACACGTTAGAGCACGTTAGAACACGTTAGAACACGTTAGAACACGTTAGAGCACGTTAGAACACGTTAGAACACGTTAGAACACGTTAGAACACGTTAGAACACGTTAGAACACGTTAGAACGCACTAGAACTAAAGCGCCATTTCCATCAGCCCTGGCTCAACTCAATGCTCCCGAGTAGAGTAGAGTAGAGTAGGGTAGGGTAGGGTAGGGTAGGGTAGAGTAGAGTAGAGTAGAGTAGAGTAGAGTAGAGTAGAGTAGGGTAGGGTAGAGTAGAGTAGAGTAGGGTAGGGTAGGGTAGGGTTGGGTAGGGTAGAGTAGGGTAGAGTAGAGTAGAGTAGAGTAGAGTAGGGTAGGGTAGGGTAGGGTAGAGTCCTGTCCTACTCTACTACTTTCTTTTCCAACAATTCAGGAACATCCTCCTTTAAACCGTGTGACCCCTGCCCTCTGACCTTTCTGATCCCTGACCTCTCTGACCCCTGCCCTCTGACCCTGCAGACCATCGTGCGTGGCAGTAAGCTGGGCGTGGACGGGTCCCTGACGTGGCTCCTGGATGAGTTCGACCACATGTCAGTCATTCGCTCCAACTCCCTGAGACGAGAAAGTCCTGTCCATCCACGACGGGACGGGCCCAGCGGGACACCTGAGAACGGGGATCACAGGTACAGGGGACACAGGGACAGGGGATCACAGGTACAGGGGACACGCTTACAGGGGATCACAGGTACAGGGGACACAAGTACAGGGGACACAGGGACAGGGGACACGGGGACACAGGTACAGGGGACACGGGTACAGGGGATCACAGGGACAGGGGACACGGATACAGGGGACACGGGTACAGGGGACACGGGTGCAGGGGATCACAGGTACAGGGGATCACAGGTACAGGGACAGAGGACACAGGGACAGGGAGAATCCTTGTAGTATATTTGCCATTTGAATATAATGATTCCATTGTAAACAGTGGAGCTGCCTCAGACTGAGCTGACTCCTGTTGCCCACAGGGAGGGGCCCAGAGCCAAAGCCGAGCCCCCGGGGGGCCACCGTCCTCAGCAGCAGCCCAGGGGCCAGGAGCCCAGCAGGGGCCTGAGGGACCGACCGGCCGGAGGACCACCCCCCCCTCCCCACAGAGAGAGAGAGCACAGGGACCACAACCAGGTGTGGATCCTAACACACTTTAGTTCACTTCGGTTCACTTTGGTTCTCTTTGATTCACTTTAGTTCACTTTGGTTCACTTTGGTTCACTTTGGTTCACTTTGATTAACTTTGGTTCACTTTGGTTCACTTTGGTTCACTTTAGTTCACTTTAGTTCACTTTGGTTCACTTTGGTTCACTTTGGTTCACTTTAGTTCACTTTAGTTCACTTTAGTTCACTTTGGATCACTTTGGTTTACTTCGGTTCACTTTGGTTCACTTTGGTTCACTTTAGTTCACTTTGGTTCACTTTTGTTAGTTCACTTCAGTTCACTTTAGTTGACTTTAGTTCACTTTGGTTCACTTCAGTTCACTTTGGTTCACTTTAGTTCAGTTCACTTTGGTTCACTTTGGTTCACTTCAGTTAGTTCACTTCAGTTAACTTTGGTTCACTTTGGTTAGTTCACTTTAGTTCACTTTAGTTTTTGGTTCACTTTGGTTCACTTTGGTTCACTTTGGTTCACTTCAGTTAGTTCACTTCAGTTAACTTTGGTTCACTTTAGTTCAGTTCACTTCGGTTCACTTTGGTCCACTTTGGTTCACTTCAGTTAGTTCACTTCAGTTAGTTCACTTCAGTTAACTTTGGTTCACTTTGGTTAGTTCTAGGGGTGCAACGGTTTGAAAAAATCACGGTTCGGTTCGTACCTCGGTTCAGAGGCCACGGTTCGATTCATTTTTCGGTTCATTTTTCAAAAAAAAAGTTTTGTCTTTTTAATAAACACAGCTCATGTGGACTCGGCACCTGCTCTGACTGCCCCCCCCCCTGACCTAGAAATGAATTAAGGGGAAGGAAATGGATGGATGGATGGATGGAATATTCCATACATCTAATTATGTCTATTTAACATAATTAATGAAAAACAACACAAAGTGCAACATAAGAAGGCACTTTATGAGGATATTTACCCTCATATATTACACCACCTTCCTGATTCTCCCGAGGAGGGGGTCCATCCTGGGCCCAGCCTCATTCACTGCATTTATTTAATTTTTGGCATTATCAGTTGTGACTGGGATATTAGTACTGGGCCTTTGTCTTCCATTCCTCCGCTGCTTGTGTCAGTACCTGTGCTGTGTATCAGTACCTGTGCTGTGTGTCAGTACCTGTGCTGTGTGTCAGTACCTGTGCTGTGTGTCAGTACCTGTGCTGTGTGTCAGTACCTGTGCTGTGTGTCAGTACCTGTGCTGTGTGTCAGTACCTGTGCTGTGTGTCAGTACCTGTGCTGTGTGTCAGTACCTGTCGCTGTCTGTACCGCTGTGTCAGTACCTGCGCTGTGTGTCAGTACTGGTGCTGTGTGTCAGTACGCGTGTGACGTGTGTCAGTACCTGCTGTGGTCATACTGGCTGTGTGTCAGTACCTGTGCTGTGTGTCAGTACTGTCTGTGTGTCGCTTGCTGTGTCAGTACCTGTGCTGTGTGTCAGTGCTGTGTCAGTACCTGGCGGTTGTCTGCTGTGTCAGTACCTGTGCGTACTGCTGTGGTCAGTACCTGTGCTGTGTGTCAGTACCTGTGCTGTGTGTCAGTACCTGTGCTGTGTGTCAGTACCTGTGCTGTGTGTCAGTACCTGTGCGTGTGTCAGTACCTGGCGTGTGTCAGTACCTGTGCTGTGTGTCTGTACTGTGCTGTGTGGTCAGTACCTGTGCTGTGTGTCAGTACCTGTGCTGTGTGTCAGTACCTGTGCTGTGTGTCAGTACCTGCGCTGTGTGTCAGTACCCTGTGTACCTGTGTGTGTGTCAGTACCTGTGCTGTGTGTCAGTACCTGTGCTGTGTGTCAGTACCTGTGCTGTGTCAGTACCTGTGCTGTGTGTCAGTACCTGCGCTGTGTGTCAGTACCTGCGCTGTGTGTCAGTACCTGTGCTGTGTGTCAGTACCTGTGCTGTGTGTCAGTACCTGTGCTGTGTGTCAGTACCTGCTGTGTGTCAGTACCTGTGCTGTGTGTCAGTACCTGTGCTGTGTGTCAGTACCTGTGCTGTGTGTCAGTACCTGTGCGTGTGTCAGTACCTGTGCTGTGTGTCAGTACCTGTGCTGTGTGTCAGTACCTGTGCTGTGTGTCAGTACCTGTGCTGTGCTGTGTCAGTACCTGTGCTGTGTGTCAGTACCTGTGCTGTGTGTCAGTACCTGTGCTGTGTGTCAGTACCTGTGCTGTGTGTCAGTACCTGTGCTGTGTGTCAGTACCTGTGCTGTGTGTCAGTACCTGTGCGGTACGTACCTGCGCTGTGTGTCAGTACCTGTGCTGTGTGTCAGTACCTGTGCTGTGTGTCAGTACCTGTGCTGTGTCAGTACCTGTGCTGTGTGTCAGTACCTGTGCTGTGTGTCAGTACCTGTGCTGTGTGTCAGTACCTGCGCTGTGTGTCAGTACCTGCGCTGTGTGTCAGTACCTGCGCTGTGTGTCAGTACCTGTGCTGTGTGTCAGTACCTGTGCTGTGTGTCAGTACCTGTGCTGTGTGTCAGTACCTGTGCTGTGTGTCAGTACCTGTGCTGTGTCAGTACCTGTGCTGTGTCAGTACCTGCGCTGTGTGTCAGTACCTGCGCTGTGTGTCAGTACCTGTGCTGTGTGTCAGTACCTGTGCTGTGTCAGTACCTGTGCTGTGTGTCAGTACCTGTGCTGTGTCAGTACCTGTGCTGTGTGTCAGTACCTGTGCTGTGTCAGTACCTGTGCTGTGTGTCAGTACCTGTGCTGTGTGTCAGTACCTGTGCTGTGTGTCAGTACCTGTGCTGTGTGTCAGTACCTGTGCTGTGTGTCAGTACCTGCGCTGTGTGTCAGTACCTGTGCTGTGTGTCAGTACCTGTGCTGTGTGTCAGTACCTGTGCTGTGTGTCAGTACCTGTGCTGTGTGTCAGTACCTGTGCTGTGTGTCAGTACCTGTGCTGTGTCAGTACCTGCGCTGTGTCAGTACCTGCTGTGTGTCAGTACCTGCGCTGTGTGTCAGTACCTGCGCTGTGTGTCAGTACCTGTGCTGTGTGTCAGTACCTGTGCTGTGTGTCAGTACCTGTGCTGTGTGTCAGTACCTGCGCTGTGTGTCAGTACCTGTGCTGTGTCAGTACCTGTGCTGTGTGTCAGTACCTGTGCTGTGTGTCAGTACCTGTGCTGTGTGTCAGTACCTGTGCTGTGTCAGTACCTGTGCTGTGTGACAGTGTGACTGTCGTAGAGGGGGCGTGTCTTCAGCGCCAGACTTTTCATCTCCCAGTCTGCGGTGATGAAGTGAGCGGTTCCGCTCATGGATCTATTACAGGTTCTGTTCTGCTCATGGATCTATTATAGGTTCTGTTCATGGATCTATTATAGGTTCCGCGGGACGTCCAAGCGTCAGTCGTGAGCGCAGCTGAGGATGCGCGGGAGAGTTGACTTTAGCCCGGTCTGACTGTGCGTAAAGGAGCTGCTTAAATGCCGCGACAATAAGCGGTCGTTGAGACGCTTTTTTCACTCATGTCTTTCTTGGTCCACAGTGCTTACACATCGTGACAGTTTTGTCGAATATTAATTATCAGTGTAGTTACAGTGAAGCCAAAATGCTCTCATACTGGGGATTTAAATGACGCGGGGCTTTCAAGCATCTCCGTTTCTCCGCTCGCAATGACCGCGCTGTGTGTGGACTGAACAACGTGCGCACAACTTTTTTTTCATAAATCAAACCGCGGGTCACGTCTGTACCGAACCGAAGACGTTGAACCGAACGGATCACGGATCAGTGATGAACCGTTGCACCTCTAGTTAGTTCACTTTAGTTCGGTTCACTTCGGTTCACTTTGGTTCACTTTAGTTCACTTTGCTTCACTTTAGTTCACTTTGTTTCACTTTAGTTCACTTTGGTTTACTTTGGTTCACTTTGGTTCACTTTGGTTCACTTCAGTTCACTTTGGTTCACTTTAGTACACATTGGTTCACTTTAGTTCACTTTGTTTCACTTTAGTTCAATTTGTTTCACTTTAGTACACATTGGTTCACTTTAGTTCACTTTGTTTCACTTTAGTTCACTTTGTTTCACTTTAGTTCACTTTGGTTTACTTTGGTTCACTTTGGTTCACTTCAGTTCACTTTGGTTCACTTTAGTACACATTGGTTCACTTTAGTTCACTTTGTTTCACTTTAGTTCACTTTGGTTTACTTTGGTTTACTTTGGTTCACTTTGGTTCACTTCAGTTCACTTTGGTTCACTTTAGTACACATTGGTTCACTTTGGTTCACTTTAGTACACATTGGTTCACTTTGGTTCACTTTAGTTCACTTTGTTTCACTTTAGTTCACTTTGTTTAACTTTAGTTCACTTTGGTTCACTTTGGTTCCCTTTGGTTCCCTTTGGTTCCCTTCGGTTCACTTCGGTTCACTTTGGTTCAGTTCAGTTCAGTTTGGTTCACTTTAGTACACATTAGTTCACTTTGTGTGAATAGCAGACTGCAGCAGAAATGTGTAGAACAGACAGTCAACCTCAGGCCCGCGGGCCACATCCGGCCCCTGAGACCGTTGTTAGTGGCCCTGAAAGGAAACTTTCAGGTTAGGGTTAGTTAACTAAAGTTAACGATGATTCTTAAAATGCATCTGACTGACATTGGCCCAGTTGGGAATGGATCCAAACCCTCCATAAAATCGGATCAAAACTCATTGAACAAAAAGAACTGAAGATAATAAAAAACAGGATACTTTTCTTTGTTTGACCCACTTTAGCACAGTTTATGTGTTTTGACCCACTTTAGCACAATTTTGTGTTTTGACCCACTTTAGCACAGTTTTGTGTTTGACCCACTTTAGCACAGTTTTGTGTTTGACCCACTTAAGCACAGTTTTGTGTTTGACCCACTTTAGCACAGTTTTGTGTTTGACCCACTTTAGTACAGTTTGTTTATATTTGACCCACTTTAGCACAGTTTTGTGTTTGACCCACTTTAGCACAGTTTGTTTATATTTGACCCACTTTAGCAGTTTGTGTGTTTGATGACTCTGACTCCCATAGGACCCGGCCTCTCGTCAGCCCCCGGACCCCAGACCCAAGTCCAGCTACGTGGGCTCCAGCAGCCCCCAGTCTCCCAGAGACAAGCGGCCCCTGTCGGGCCCCAACATCCGCACCCCCCACCTCCCCATCACTGAGGGCCTCCTGAAGACCACCCAACAGAACCGCCCCTTCAACACCTACCCCCGAGCGGATAGCGAGGGCAGCCGCAGCCCTACAGGACCGGTAGGCTCTAGTGTTAGCTCTGCGTTAGCTCTACAGGACCGGTAGGCTCTAGTGTTAGCTCTGCGTTAGCTCTACAGGACCGGTAGGCTCTAGTGTTAGCTCTGCGTTAGCTCTGCGTTAGCTCTACAGGACCGGTAGGCTCTTGTGTTAGCTCTGTGTTAGCTCTACAGGACCGGTAGGTTCTTGTGTTAGCTCTGTGTTAGCCCTACAGGACCAGTAGGCTCTAGTGTTGGCCCTACAGGAGATCCCCATCCGGAGATTGACAGGTTATCTCTCGTTGTAAGAGCGCTCATATCGACCGATTTCAACTGATCATCTCCATCATCTACTCTCAGTCGCCAAAAGCCTCCTTCAACTAGTTACTCTGTCCATGTATGCTAGGCTTTAGTCTACGCTTACCCTACTCTACCCTTCTCTACCCTACTCTACTCTACTCTGCCCTACTTTACTCTACCCTACCTTACCCTACCCTACCCTACCCTACTCTACCTTACCCTACCTCACCCCACTCTACCCTACCCTACTCTGCCCTCCCCTACCTCACCCTGCTCTACCCTACCCTACTCTGCCCTCCCCTACCTCACCCTGCTTTACCCTACCCTACTCTGCCCTACTCTACTCTACTCTACCCTTCCCTACTCTACTCTACTCTACTCTGCCCTCCCCTACTCTACTCTACCCTTCCCTACTCTACTCTACTCTACCCTACCCTACTCTACTCTACCCTACTCTGCCCTACTCTACCCTACTCTGCCCTACTTTACTCTACCATACCTTACCCTACCCTACCTTACCTTACCCTACCTCACCCTACTCTACTCTACCCTACCTCACCCTGCTCTACTCTACCCTACTCTGCCCTCCCCTACCTCACCCTACCCTTCCCTACCCTACTCTGCCCTACTCTACCCTACCCTACCCTGCCCTACTCTACTCTACCCTACCCTACCCTACCCTGCCCTACCCTACCCTACCCTTCACTACCCTACCTTAGCCTACCTTTGCCTTCTCTCTCTTGGGTCTGAAGTCTTCTTCTTCTTCCTCAGCCGAGCAGCTCTCCTCACAATGGCCCCCCCTCGGGACACAGCGATCACCCTCACCACACCTCCCACCCCAGCCTGGCCCCTGAGGGCCCCCATCATCCTCACACCCCTCATCCCAAAATGCCAGCCCCGCGGCCCCCTCTGCAGCCCGGCTCAGTGTCGGGGGCCCCTGTGGCCCCTGCACAGGGGCGCTCCCCCCACAGAGAGCCACAGAGAGTGTCTCATGAACAGTTCAGAGCAGCTCTGCAGATGGTGGTGGACCCCGGGGACCCTCGCTCTTACCTCGACCACTACATCAAGATTGGAGAAGGCTCCACCGGCATCGTCTGCATCGCCACCGTCAAAACCACCGGGAAACTGGTCGCCGTCAAGAAGATGGACCTGAGGAAGCAGCAGCGCAGAGAGCTGCTCTTTAATGAGGTACCTGTGACCTCACTGTACCTGTGATACCTGTGACCCCACTGTACCTGTGATACCCGTGACCTCGCTGTACCTGTGACATCACTGTACCTGTGACCTCGCTGTACCTGTGATACCTGTGACCTCGCTGTACCTGTGATACCTGTGACCTCGCTGTACCTGTGATACCTATGACTTCGCTGTACCTGTGATACCTGTGACCTCGCTGTACCTGTGACATGTATTAGTATTTATTTGACTAGCACAGTTCATCTCAATGAACGTATGCAGTTGAACATATTTTTGACTCATTTGCGGGGTCACAGGAGGCGGGATCACAGGAGGCGGGGTCACAGGAGGCGGGGTCACAGGAGGCAGGGTCACAGGAGGCGGGGTCATCAGGTCACTGCACTTTCATTTCTATTTCACAGCAAGCAATGTTTGTTACATCTTTTTTCTGCAATTGTGTGTGTGTGTGTGCATGTGTGTGTGCGTGCATGTGTGTGCAGGTGGTCATCATGCGGGACTATCACCATGACAACGTGGTGGAGATGTACAACAGTTACCTGGTGGGAGACGAGCTGTGGGTGGTCATGGAGTTCTTGGAGGGAGGGGCTCTCACTGACATTGTGACACACACCAGGTGAGACACACACACACCAGGTGAGACACACACACACCAGGTGAGAAACACACACACCAGGTGAGACACACACATACACCAGGTGAGAAACACACACACCAGGTGAGACACCAGTTGATGTAGTGTGTTGTGTGTTTGCAGAATGAACGAGGAGCAGATCTCCACTGTGTGTGTGTCTGTGCTGAAGGCTCTGTCAGTGCTACACACACAGGGAGTGATCCACCGAGACATCAAGAGTGACTCCATCCTGCTCACACACGACGGCAGGGTACAACCTGGGCTCTGCTAATGACACACGCACACAAACGCACGCACATACACACACACGCCACTAGGCTTGGGTGATATGAGGCGGAAATGTTAATACAATTTTTTTAAACATGAAAGATAAATCCCCATCTCTGTGTTTTCAGGTGAAGCTGTCAGACTTCGGCTTCTGTGCTCAGGTTTCTAAAGAGGTGCAGAGGAGGAAGTCTCTGGTGGGGACCCCCTACTGGATGGCCCCTGAGCTGATCTCACGTCTGCCCTACGGCCCCGAGGTACCTCCCTCTGCTCTGTGCAGCTGCAGACAGCTGCATACAGCTGCATACAGCTGCAGACGGCTGCAGACAGCTGCAGACAGCTGCATACAGCTGCAGACAGCTGCATACGGCTGCATACGGCTGCAGACGGCTGCATACAGCTGCAGACAGCTGCATACAGCTGCAGACAGCTGCATACGGCTGCAGACGGCTGCATACAGCTGCAGACAGCTGCATACAGCTGCAGACGGCTGCATACAGCTGCAGACAGCTGCATACAGCTGCAGACAGCTGCATACAGCTGCAGACAGCTGCAGACAGCTGCATACAGCTGCATACAGCTGCAGACAGCTGCAGACTCTGACCCTGTGTGTGCCACAGGTGGACATCTGGTCTCTGGGTGTCATGGTGATAGAGATGGTGGATGGAGAGCCTCCGTACTTCAACGAGCCGCCTCTGAAGGCCATGAAGATGATCCGGGACAATCTGCCGCCAAAACTCAAGAACCTGCACAAGGTATCTGTAGACCCAGGACTGAGGCTGTAGACCCAGGACTGAGGCTGTAGACCCAGGACTGAGGCTGTAGACCCAGGACTGAGGCTGTAGACCCAGGACTGAGGCTGTAGACCCAGGACTGAGGCTGTAGACCCAGGACTGAGGCTGTAGACCCAGGACTGAGGCTGTAGACCCAGGACTGAGGCTGTAGACCCAGGACTGAGGCTGTAGACCTAGGACTGAGGCTGTAGACCCAGGACTGAGGCTGTAGACCCAGGACTGAGGCTGTAGACCCAGGACTGAGGCTGTAGACCCAGGACTGAGGCTGTAGACCCAGGACTGAGGCTGTAGACCCAGGACTGAGGCTGTAGACCCAGGACTGAGGCTGTAGACCCAGGACTGAGGCTGTAGACCCAGGACTGAGGCTGTAGACCCAGGACTGAGGCTGTAGACCCAGGACTGAGGCTGTAGACCCAGGACTGAGGCTGTAGACCCAGGACTGAGGCTGTAGACCCAGGACTGAGGCTGTAGACCCAGGACTGAGACTGTAGACCCAGGAGTGATTCCAGCATGGTCTCATGTGCTGTTCTCCTGGTGCAGGTCTCTCCTCTGCTCAAGGGCTTCCTGGACCGGATGCTGGTGCGGGACCCGGCTCAGAGGGCCACAGCCAGTGAGCTCCTCAAGCACCCCTTTCTGTCCAAAGCAGGACCCCCCTCCTGCATCGTCCCACTCATGAGACACAACCGCATCAAGTGAACTGTGAGCCCAGAGAGAGGCCGACCTGTGTCCAGGCAATAAGCAGAGAGAGGGAGAGTGTGTGTCTGTGTGTGAGAAAGAGTGAGGAGAGAGAGAGTGTGTGAGAAAGAGAGTTCTTTTTATCTATTTCACTTTTGTTTCAATTTCCAAACACTGTCGACGTCAGAGTAACCACATGCCCTTTTAGCGTTTGTGTTTTGTAAAGTTGAATCCTGGGTCTCTGCTTGGGGCCCACCACTTCCACAAGAGACTACTGAGACCCCACTGAGACCCCACTGAGACCCCAGCAGCGGGCCCCACACTACAGCGGGAAAAACACTGGAGATTTCTACATGAACTGTTTGTTTTGTTGCTTTGGAGAAAGTGACGTGAGCCTCAGAGTCACGTGGTCAATGTGTGGGATGTGACATCACTGCGGCCAACGGCAGCCTGTGTGTGTCTGTGTGAGTGTGTTTAAGTGTGTGAGTGTGTGTGTCTGCGTGCGAGTGTGTGTGTGTGGGTCCTGATGTGGGTCCTGTGAACGCCCCTATCAGAGGAGGTCTGCCGTCTTCTCCTGGTGTCTGCCATAACCGGTCCTTAGTCCAAAGGAGGGGCCTGTGGTTCTGAGCAGGAGGGATGGGACCAGATGTGGGATATCGAGGCTGTAGACCCAGGACCGAGGCTGTAGACCCAGGACTGAGGCTGTAGACCCAGGACCGAGGCTGTAGACCCAGGACCGAGGCTGTAGACCCAGGACCGAGGCTGTAGACCCAGGACCGAGGCTGTAGACCCAGGACCGAGGCTGTAGACCCAGGACCGAGGCTGTAGACCCAGGACCGAGGCTGTAGACCCAGGACCGAGGCTGTAGACCCAGGACCGAGGCTGTAGACCCAGGACCGAGGCTGTAGACCCAGGACCGAGGCTGTAGACCCAGGACCGAGGCTGTAGACCCAGGGCATTTTTAGAAAAGATATGAAATATATTAGTTGTATATTGTGTGGTCAGATTGTGGTTCCTGTGATATTTCTGAGGTCAAACAGTAAAGCTGTAGAATGAGTGCATTTGAACAAAGACAAAGGTACCGTATCTGTTCTGGTCCCATCCCGACTCAGCGAGTGGCGGCAGGAGGTGTTTGATGCTCAAAGCTTTTTAGAAAGATCTGAATCCTCCACGTGACACTCGAGCGAATGAGAAATACTGTAACATGTGCTGCCGACAGGTCAGTACTGAGCTCCTGCTTCTGTGAAGTGGAGCACAGCGTGAGAACCGCTTTAGACTGTGGTACCGTCTACGGTCAGACTGTGGTACCGTCTACAGTCAGACTGTGGTACCGTCTACAGTCAGACTGTGGTACCTTCTACGGTCAGACTGTGGTACTGTCTACAGTCAGTCTACAGTCAGACTGTGGTACTGTCTACAGTCAGTCTACAGTCAGACTGTGGTACAGTCTGACTGTAGACGGTACCACTGTCTGACTGTAGACGGTACCACAGTCTGACTGTAGACTGTGGTACTGTCTACAGTCAGTCTACAGTCAGACTGTGGTACCGTCTACAGTCAGACTGTGGTACCGTCTACAGTCAGACTGTGGTACCGTCTACGGTCAGACTGTGGTACCGTCTACGGTCAGACTGTGGTACTGTCTACAGTCAGTCTACAGTCAGACTGTGGTACCGCCTACAGTCAGACTGTGGTACTGTCTACAGTCAGTCTACAGTCAGACTGTGGTACCGTCTACAATCAGACTGTGGTACCGTCTTCAGTCAGACTGTGGTACCGTCTACAGTCAGACTGTGGTACCGTCTACAGTCAGACTGTGGTACCGTCTACAGTCAGTCTACAGTCAGACTGTGGTACCGTCTAGTCAGTCTACAGTCAGACTGTGGTACCGTCTACAGTCAGACTGTGGTACCGTCTACAGTCAGACTGTGGTACCGTCTACAGTCAGACTGTGGTACCGTCTACAGTCAGACTGTGGTACCGTCTACGGTCAGACTGTGGTACCGTCTACGGTCAGACTGTGGTACCGTCTACGGTCAGACTGTGGTACCGTCTACAGTCAGACTGTGGTACCGTCTACAGTCAGACTGTGGTACCGTCTACAGTCAGACTGTGGTACCGTCTACAGTCAGACTGTGGTACCGTCTACAGTCAGTCTACAGTCAGACTGTGGTACCGTCTACAGTCAGTCTACAGTCAGACTGTGGTACCGTCTACAGTCAGACTGTGGTACCGTCTACAGTCAGACTGTGGTACCGTCTACAGTCAGACTGTGGTACCGTCTACAGTCAGACTGTGGTACCGTCTACAGTCAGACTGTGGTACCGTCTACAGTCAGACTGTGGTACCGTCTACAGTCAGACTGGGTACCGTCTACAGTCAGACTGTGGTACCGTCTACAGTCAGACTGTGGTACCGTCTACAGTCAGTCTACAGTCAGACTGTGGTACCGTCTACAGTCAGACTGTGGTACCGTCTACAGTCAGACTGTGGTACCGTCTACAGTCAGTCTACAATCAGACTGTGGTACCGTCTACAGTCAGACTGTGGTACCGTCTACAGTCAGACTGTGGTACCGTCTACAGTCAGACTGTGGTACCGTCTACAGTCAGACTGTGGTACCGTCTACAGTCAGACTGTGGTACCGTCTAAAATCAGACTGTGGTACCGTCTACAGTCAGACTGTGGTACCTTCTACAGTCAGACTGTGGTACCTTCTACAGTCAGACTCTGGTACCGTCTACAGTCAGACTCTGGTACCGTCTACAGTCAGACTGTGGTACCGTCTACAGTCAGTCTACAGTCAGACTGTGGTACCGTCTACAGTCAGTCTACAGTCAGACTGTGGTACCGTCTACAGTCAGACTGTGGTACCGTCTACAGTCAGACTGTGGTACTGTCAGACTGTGCTACTGTCAGACTGTGGTACTTTCTACGGTCAGACTGTGGTACCGTCTAAGGTCAGACTGTGCTACTGTCAGACTGTGCTACAGTCAGACTGTGGTACCGTCTACTGTCAGGCTGTGGTACCGACTCTACAGTCAGGCTGTGGTACCGTCTGGACACTACACTCGGACTGTGGTACCGTCTGGACACTACACTCGGACTATGGTACCGTCTGGACACTACACTCGGACTGTGGTACCGTCTGGACACTACACTCGGACTGTGGTACCGTCTGGACACTACACTCGGACTGTGGTACCACTCGGACTGTGGTGCCGTCTACATTCCTGCTCCACTGCAGCATCTGTTTTTTATTTACCACAATTTGTTCAATTTCACAAATGTTACTTTTTGCAAATACATATTTTGTAAACTTTTCTTTGTCGTCTTTGTGAGGTTTAGTTTTCAGCTTTAGACTCCGCGCTGGAGGCTTTAAAGGAA